TCAAAGCTCTTGGGGGTCCTCCCTCATTCTCAAGAACGTAAAGGGGTCCTTGGATCAAAGAGGGGGAGAACTGCTGGTCTAAAATTTTCTACAGGATGGTTTGCCCCGGCTGCCCCTGGATGGGCTGAGCCACCTTTATTTCTCCCCCCTCCCCTTGCCTCAAGCCCCCCTATGCAAAAAGGGCCCCTGCCTAGGTTTTTAGACAAGCCCTCGTGCAGCCCCCCCCCACTTCAAAAGTTCTATAAATTTAGGAGCAAACAGAGTGAAATATTTTATATAAAACTATATTTTGGCTGAACAGTCACTCTGAGCGATGGGCGGTTTCTAAATTTCACAAAATAATTTACGATATTCAAGGATAAAAAATTATCGACCAGGCCACCGGATAGATGATCCAAGATAATAGATAATGCTAAGAAAACTTTGGCCCATGGGGCACTCCATCACCAAAAAGGACCCGGCCGTTTCAAGCTCGACATGGAACTGAACCCAGCAATGATTGTAATGAAAAGCGTCACAAGCTGCAGTGTCGCAATTTTAATTTTAATTTTTTTCTAAATGAAACCATTGTACATTGTACAAACCATAGCTACTGATGGAATAAATAAGTGGAAAAATTATACTGCTGTACAACACACACAAAATCATTGAAGGTGGGGAAAAAAAACCAATTAGGTGTTTTCTTTACAAAAAAAAACATCAACAAAAAAGAAAAAAAGATAAAACCCACAAAATTCTTTACACCTCGCTAGCAGGCCTTTAGATACTGTATAAAGAACATTTCAAAACATGTCCATGTTTCAGGGTGAAGAAAGCTAGCCCCTCACAGTTCCCATCTCCCACCAACCCATCAAGCCGCTAATTGTTATGCTGCCTCATTCATTGTTGTTCTTAAAAGTGCCCGCACTTTTTTGGAATGTTTAACTTTCCCCAAGCATTTGAATTTCAGAAATGAACGGTTCGGCTATAAAAAAAAAATCTGCCTTTTCGTATAGCTTCCATCTCAATCAAAGTCAGTTAATTACCTTGCTAGCTTATGTCTACCTGCTTGGAGGGCCAAATAACCCAACTGTAGATTAGGAAGCACTTCTGAACTCTTGCACTATTTCTGACTAATGTTGGATACGGCCCACCACGGCTAGGGCTGCACAATTCTCCCCCGCCCCCCGCAGGCCTGGTGGATGACTCTTATTAATTCACACGAGAATTTCCAGTCACTGTGATGCAAAATTTAAATTCTCCTCCCCCCCCTTAGGATCTGCAATCAAACCAGTTGCTGAACCCGAGTCCCAGTAAAGCCAGACCCAAACTGGATCTGGGACCAGATCTGAAGAGATGGAGACCCCCCCACACACATCCTGAACAGCTGGTTCTCAACGCTAAACTTTCCAACAGTTCCAAGTGTAACAAGCTTGCACGACCGAAGGGCCTATCCATGTTATTAGGCACTTCGAAAAAAGACACAAAGTGCAATCTAGACACCATTGTACAATTCTGCATATCTGCTCTGTATGATTCCACACACACACACACACCCCACCTGTTCAAATGGTGCACACAGACATTAACAGGAATAATTTGTACTACTCAAGTTCTCTCAGCTCCGCCCAGCTGCCTGCGTTGGGGATGAAGATTCCAATCGCCAATTGAGGACTATGAGGATGCTGGTTTTTGCTGGTTTTTCTGAGCCATGGAAGGACAAAATGACCGCTACTCTTCAAAGTTAACTCCTGAGCATTTTTCCTGCTGCAGAATTCATCTAAAGTTCATGGAAAATCAGCCACATAGGCCACAGGAGAGATTAAGAAGCCAGCTTTATCACTAAACTTATCAAATGTCAGTAATGCCAATAGATCTTTTCTACCAAATGAAATAGTTGAGGTATTTTAGTGCTATTTATATATATATATCTATATATATATATATACTTTATCCGTTTAAGTACAGGATTCAGCTTTGAACTTAAAAAAAGAAGCCTATTTATTTCCTTGGAAACTTTGTAAAAAAAACATCAAAGCACAACCACAAAAATTGAACCTTCTATAGACAATTGGACAGGGTGGTTTTAGAGCCATGGACCGTTTGAGTGATCAATTAAAAGCTACATAATTACGATTTTTTTAAACTTCAAAAAATATATTTGTCTATTTCATAGATCAGCCGACATGTCCCCCCAAGAAAACCCCACAAACCCTGGTTAAAGATGGATGTCATGTCCATACTAACTGCAATTTAACCAGTCATTGCCAAGTCTGAAGCAGATACACCAATGAGAGAAAAAAAATATAACTTTAGCATTTAATTCTGTATATTGTGCAAATACGTCTCTTTCAGATAATGAATCTGTGATCCAAGCACAAAGAGACCTTCTAAGGAGCACACTGTCATGAATGATTTTCAAGAAAATTTAATTTTGATGAGATGTAAATATTTATTTCAACACAAAAATGAGAAGATCTTCTCAAATTTAAATGCAGGCCTCTTTCTTGCAGTTAACGCCTCTATAAACATTTGATGGACGGTCAGAATTGACACCTTCACTTCGCCCAACCATTTTTTTCATAATTAATCGCAAATGCAACACAGCAGTCAAAACTAAAGCCATTTTCACCGTTGGAGAAATCAGAAATATGTATTTTTTAAACAAGCAATTATTAAGGGAAGTGTCTGGATTGGAAGCTTTTTTTTTTTTAAAGGCCACCTACTAATTCCATAGCAAACTAGGCATAACTGTTTTATAGTTGCTGTGACAAAATGCATTTGTTCTCATTTGCTGCCTTTTGCTTTTTATAAGCACTTCTCCTACAGAAATATTCCCACCTACTCAAAGGAGCTGTAGGAGCTTATCCAGTCCTTAAGTGCACAAAAAATGAGCGTAACCTAGCAAGTCCAACCGCAACATAGCCCCACTGGAAAATGACAAAAGTGCAAATCTGTTGCGACTGAAGCTGTGTTGATTTCACTAGCTTTTGCCCCCAGCAACTGGCATAAAAGCACCCCAAATGTGTAAGTCACTCTGCCCTTTGCAGCTTCTACTAAATCAACTTCTGTGGCCAAGCCAAGCGTGCACGGGACACAGCTGTCTGAACGAGAGATTCCGAAAATCACGAAGCTGTATTTACAGGCAAATCTTGAAACAAGGGCGTCTCAAGTACACAAATGTTGGACAACAGTCAACATCTCATGAAAGAACAAAACGGTAAAATCCAGTTCAATCTTTAAAAATGATTGGAGAACAGATCTATTCAAAATTTACACCCAGCGTGCATCCATTTGTAACGAAGCCACAAGAAAGCTCAAAGACGGATTTCCAGCTTCAAGTACTTAAAACGCATAATTGCTTTTGTAACCAGATAAACCCTAATTTAAGTGAACTCAGAAACCTATCAATCAATTTTAAGAAGGCTACATAGGGCAGCCTAAAAGATGCATTATTCCGCTACGAAAGTCTGTAAAGCAAGAAGGTTTGGGGGGGGGGGCACACAAGGCAGTGCAGGAGAGGTTTACTTATTTAAGAAAATTTATACTTGAACACGGTGCATTCCAAAAAGGAAGCGAGCCCTGGAGGTACAGGAAAATCAAGCGTGGATCCGCCCGCCCTCCAATTGTGAAAATGGCTTCTTAATTTCTCTCATGTTATCTCTTATCAGGACAGTAAGCACCAGAGTATTTAAAAAAAAAAAAAAAAAACCCAACAACAACGGAACATATTTTATATGGCATTGTACTAACGGGCTACTTTGCAAAAGAGAAGTTGCAGAATTAGCCCTGTTTTGTTTGTTTGTTTTTTCATTTTGGGACACAAGGCACAAAAAAAAAACAAAAAACCCCAAAACAAGAAAGAGACATCACACCAGAACAGTGAACTTCACATGTGAAGAGAATACCTGACCTGTACCATTCTTAAATATCTTATAATGTTAAATAGAGAATGGGGAAAAAAAAATACATCAGCAGCATAATTGTAATTCTGAAATTAGAAACAGTGCGTAGACCCCTCCTGAGTGTTTACTCTAACCATTTCAGAGACAGTAACTTAAATGCTCAACAGTTTTGCTTCACAGGAAAAAAAAAAAGTTTTCAGTGTCTGAAGAGATTAAATGTTTGCTTGGTTTTCCTTGGGTTTTCGCCTGGTAGCTTGGAAAGTTTATAGGAGTTTTCTCCTGGTCCAAGAGAAGATGCTTATGTACGGTTGTTCGATAATTGAGCCCATTGATGTACCTTTACATAAAAACCGCCCAGGAAAAATCTAAAGTTTATATTTCATCCATGTTTTCTTGAGAGGGAGCCTCTACTTTCATCTTTTTAGGAGGTGGCACTCCTTCAGAGTCCTTAATGCAGGGAAAGAGGGAGAAAGAGGGGGGGGGGGGAGAATAAGCGTTAGCAATAAATAAAATCAACCGGCTATTTTTTTTATATTTGAGGAGAAAGAAATAGATAACACCACTATTAAAGGAGACTCTTCAGTCCGACCACAGTTAATTGTATAATTTTCCAAATTGCAGGATTTATTTCTGTGCAACATTACCCCGGAAGGTCATTGTGCACGGCTATTTATATGGCTCTTTTCTAGATCACGATGAGTATTTAACGAAATCTTTGAAAATTCTCCAGAGTGTATCAGAAGAACACCCTTGAAGCTTACACTCCATGCGGGCTATAAACAATCCAAAGGGTTAGACATTTCTTGTGCTACCGAATATGCTGGCACCATATTTAAAGATTTGGAAGAAGAAAAAATACTTCATCCCTATCCGTAATCCAATCTTCATGCTTTCTTATTAGAATTTTAAAATGAGGAAAACTGGCAGCACTAGCTTATCAAAATTGGTCCTCTTCCAGATGACTAATCTTTCCAGTTTTTAAACATTCAATATTAGGAAATAGAGCATGCTCTAATCCAGTGTTTCTCAACCTTGGCAACTTTAAGATGGGTGGACTCCCAGCTCCCAGAATTCCTCAGCCAGCAGATTGTTCTTCAACCTCATAGCTAAGGAATTGTCAGAGGGGCAACAAATGCTTGAGCTCAATCGGTGGGTCAGGAAAGCCAGATTTTATTTCAGGCAGCTGACTAGCTAAGTGGTTGTCTCAGGTTTCCATGAATTTAGAATTACAGTTTAACTTTAAAGCAAGAGATGCAGAAAAGCACGATAAAAGTAAGGAGGGATTTTCCCCCCCATTACCTGAGAGTTTTTAGATGTCTCTGTGGTTGTGTCGTTTTCCGCTGAAGGCTCTGTTTCAACTTTCTCCGAACTATTGATGGAATTCTCCATCGAAGACTGTGAATTCTGTTCATCAGATGCATCTGGGGGGGGGGGGGGGAATGACAAGAAAACAGCTCTCAAATCATCCGACCGTATGCTGCTTTCAATTCGCTTCTATCACCATATTAAAGAGAAATTAAAGAGAAGCTGGTTGAGTTTTATTGCCACTGGAGTTCTGAAGACAGGCGCTTTTGCTTTGTTCTTGAAAATCGTACATACTTATTCTAGGAAAATTTCTTTTCTACAGGAAAGCAAGGGAGAAACAAAAAATTGCCAATGGCAAGCACTGAGCACTTTAAAAAGAGGTTTTAATTTAAAAAACGTGAAACTGAAAGGCTGAAACTGTACTTTTCATCTAATTATACAAATGGTCACAGAGCTTTTTCCTTAATCAGAGGATTAAAAAAAGCAGAACTATACAGAATTCATTAACTCAGCAGCTGACTAGGATACTTTTGAGTCACCACTAGAGGGAAGCATAGTATTTTAGGCAATACAGAAGATAACCAATGTGATTTAAAACCCTTTGGAAATATTTGGACAGTGTTTCTGGGACACAGATAATTTATGGGGAGAGGGAGAGATGCAAGGTGTGAATGTATCTCCTTTTCAAGCCTTCACAAGCTTGAAAGTGGGGGCTGCTTTTAAACAGTAGAGAGTTAACACCAAGAGGTGATCATCTACAAAACATGGAACTGCCTGTACCATACATCCTGTCTACCATCTCTGTGCAGGAAAACGGTTCCAGGAACCCCATCGTTACCTTCTGACCCAGCTTCTTCTTTTGCATCCGTCGGAGTATCGTCCGACTTTGAGCCAGGACCATCTACCTGCCCTGTCGAGTTCTGCTCGGGCAAGGGACTCGAGTTGCTGCTGTTCTCCTGCTTTATGGGGGAAGCATCAGCTATAGAACTCTGGTTGCTATTGTCATCTGCAAACAAAAGAGATTGGCTTGGTGAAAACAGGCTGAAGATCAGCACTCACAAAATCCAGGTGATGAGATTCCGACCCCACACGTGCCAAAGTAAATATCTGGTTGAGCGCCACACGAATCTGCATTTCACAAATTCACTTAACTAAAGCAGAAACGCAGGGCCAGTTCAGACATCCAGTGCCCAGAGTGCTTGATTACAGAAGCTGAAGTCCAACAGGTTGGCCTAATGAGAAAATTGTCCAGGGCACAACTGCTGTATCCACTCAGGCACTTGCTGAATGATGCTAAGAAAAGCTACCACTTCACCCATTTATCCTCTCTCGGAGAGACATTCAGAATGGGAAAATTACAGATTCAACTGAGGGTAACCATGGCAACATGTAATGACTCACTTTAAATGTTAAACACGTGCTTCTGGAGAGAGAAAAAAATCTTAATTTTTCAGGTTCAACTTTTATCAGGCTGGAGGCTTCCAAGGGACACAGCTATCCCGTGCCTGAAAACCTCCTCTTGGATTAGATGAGAATTTGGAAAACTTTATTTAAAAGGCCACAAAATATAATCAGCACAAAGCTAGAGCCACATAAGGGACAAGGTGCCAGATCCCAGAGGATTTAGTTCCCCATTTCTCATCATGCTGGTTACTGGGCTTATATTGGGGGAGGGGGGGGCAAAGAAACATGCATAAAAGACCAAATAAAATTTGAAGTATATTTTTTATGAATTAGATAAACAGCCTTTTGGATTACAGCACTATGGAAAAATAAAGTGCCACAATTCTCAGCAGGAGACTTGTTAGCCTGAATGGTGCCTTTTTATTCCGCACTGGTCGATTGTTTCTCTTCAAAGCTAAATCTAAAATTGCTCCTAAGGAAGACTCAGCGTTCCCCATGCTGGCTGGCATCAGCAGTCCCCCCTCCTCCCCTGGCCCCACTCACCGTGCATATCCATCATCCCAGGAGACGAACTGTTTTCTGGGGTCGTCACCTCAGAACCACACTTTTCATCTTTGCCTTTTTTCTTGTTCTTGGCTTTCTGAGAGAAAGGAGAAGAAGATGGTAACTTTGTGTGTGGCCAACTTGAAAGTTAGGCTTTCCCAGTGAAGTTTGACTCTCAAAATTGCCACTCTTGTGCTGATCCCTTGTTCTAAGCCACCTTGTTGCTGGGTAGTTTGTCTGTCTTTTTAAATTTGATTGGAAACAGAAAGGTGGAACCTTTTTTTAAAGGAATATTGTCTATGATCATTACACAGCTTCAAAAAGCCTACTTATGATGTTTTGGCTTCTTCTTTCTACATGTTCATTTATGACATTAGCATGTTTTTATACATGGCGATACAATCCAAAAGATGGGCTTTGGTCTGAATTTGTGTTAAATCTGCTCTACTGTTACCAATTTTTAATACTACTTATTCATATCCATCCTAGTTGCGATAGTAACTGGGTCAATAAGGAACCACAAAGCTTGCTGGCTGCATAAGGGCCAGGTTCTGTTTCCCCCCCCCCCAGCACCATTACAAAAGATAAAGCAGCAGAGAAAGACAATAGCACCCGTTGTGTGAAAAAAAAAACATGCATGAAAAAGGATGCGGCACTTTCAATTAGAAGGTGACGTAATTGGTCTCCTAGGAGAAAGTGCCAGCTGCACCGCTCTGCTCTCAATATACGGAGCCTGCTGAGCGAAAGGAAACCCAGATGATCGGAAGAGAGCCTCGCGCAGAAGTAAGAGCGTGAGGGTCGGGCAATACAATCAAAATCAGAGGCAGATGGCAAAAGGACAGCCCCAGGCCGCAGAAGGCCCTGACTTAATATTGACGATGTCTGTTTTGAGTGGCACCGCTCCAGGCCAGATGGGTGGAAATATAACAGCTGCGCCTAGTTGCACAGTAACAGTTATGGTTCTAAGGTAGCTGCAAAGACAGGCAGTGTGGAACTTTTTTATATGATGCAAGCAGCAACTCCTAAGAGGCTGAGGGTGAGCTGAAAAGTGTGGCTTCCCACAAAGGGAGAGAAATCTTTTCATAAGACCTTTGCTATCAAGAAAACTGAGATGTAAGACAAAGGTTTTAGAAAAGGACACTTAACATTCAATATAATGTCATTTATGCTGCCAAGAGAGTCCTTTTCTCTAAACTTTCAAATGAATGGGGTATCATGAAATACTTACATCATCTGTTTTGGGCTCTGTTATTGGCACCCATTTGTAAATCCTAAGGGATGTGTCACCAACTGTCACCCATTTCTTCTCCCTAGAAAGAGGCAAAATTATAAATATTTAGTTACATGTATGGTATCAAAGCCCCTGTGCAAAATCCAGGAAACAAAAAGAAGGCATACAATAAGCCTCACTTCTACAGTGGGAGGCAAACAGGACATAAAGCAGAAGGAACTTAAATTTCAAATTCATATAGTAAGGATAGGGAGTCTTTGATCTATGACCACAACCAGACCAGAATTTCCATTGCTAAGCAAGGTGGTTGTTAAGCAAGTCTTGCCAATTTCACTACTTTTGCAGCAGTTGTTAAGCAAACCACAGTAGTTGTCAGATGAATCCCCTTTATTTATTAACTGATACATTCATTTTTCTCCACTATCCCCAGTTATTTATACATTTTTGCTGTTTAAATCTGCCAGTTACATCTCTTTTTAAATTACCTTTCTCTTTCCTTACTATTTGGTTTTGTCGAAGACCTATAAATGAGACTCAAGGACATTTCTTTGATCCCAAAAAATGAAGGAAGCAACAAAAAGTGCATCAGGGACTTCTAAGATCACCGACAGCAGTACCGTTGAAATAGTAATTCAGGGATTAGAGGTGCATTAATGCAAGTAGATCTGCTTTATAAAAACCATTTTCTCTGAATATCTGGCACAAGGTGAATCGTGGTAAACAATCTCTCATGCAAACATGTTAACCAGACAATGCTAAGAATTTCTAATTTCCTGGATCAGACTACCATTCACATCAATATTATTTAATCAGATATTAAGCATGGCCCTTTAATAGGATTTAAATACACAGCTTCCCCAGTACATAGTTGGGTTTGCAGGTGAAATAAAGGTATATTATCACCTACATGCTTCAAAATATACCCCATCAGCATCTATGCTGGGTTAAAGTAAATATTTGCAAGACGGAACTTCACATTCCCATTTCACTCTGTGCTTAAGCAGATAAATCTAATAAAGGGGGAAAGAGCCATCTGGTAAACAGAAGGCCGAACAGCACCACCCTGCCCCCCCCCCCAAACTTGGCTCCAAAAATGCACACTGATCCAGCAGAAATCTGTACAGAATGCCTTCCAAGATAAAAGGACTCAAAACCTTCATCTAACCAAGCCACAAGCAAACAACCCCAACAAGCCCCATGGAGATGACATTGTAAACCTATAGGACTCAACCAGAGGTTGAGTCTTTAACTAGTGTTTCTTTAACTAGTGTTAAAGAAACCACTTTGCTGAAAGCCTTCTTAATTTTCACAACAGCAGAAACTCAAGAAAGAAAGCAACGTATCTGCTCTCAACTGCTGACCTAAAGCAAACCCAGCAAGCCATTCCACATTACAAAGAATCATTGGCCACGGAGTCTTCTGGGTATCCAAAATTGCCAGCATTCACTATGTTTTCCAGTCACCACGGAAGAACATTAACACATTCAATCACTTCACTTTTTGGGTCTTCAGAAATTCCCTAGATCACCACTGTTAACTTGTAAAGTCCTGGCTTAAATATTTCATGCTTCTGGGCTATACATACAAAGCAACGCTTGCATCATCTTTGACTGAGAGGATTCCAAACAAAATCATGTCATCATGACCAGCCCACAGTTCATTTTAATTTCCCCTGTTGACGGTATAATGTGTCAGGTATTACACAAATCGCCTACAACTTAATGGAAGAGGACAAAACAAGCATACGGGTTTTCTTCTTTAAACTGGATTTCTGCATTACATATGATACACATTGTAGTGTTTTACATATCACTGCAAAATGCACTGTTTATTTCTCTGCTGTACATTATCTAACTTGCAGGAATGATAGAAATGGTTGTTAGCGGCTAAAAGTGGCTTTTTTTGGTTATTTATCCGAAATGAAGTCAAACTGTCTATTTTTAAATTATCTGTGTTTATCAGGAATATTCAATCACAGATTTTATTTCAAAATGCACTGTAGATGAGTGTTTAAAGTAAGCATCTAAAATGAATTTCTAGAAGGTCCGTTCAATAAGAGTTTAAAGAATGATCTTGATACACCATCGTAAGTAACCAAACCACATGCTTTGTCAATCAGCGTGTAGAAGGATACTGGCAAAAAAAAAAATACATGAGAAAATTTATGGTTTGTTGGTTCCCAGGTTTTCAGATAAGTGAACTGTTGCCAGTTATAAATATTTCCCATGAAGGCTGTCTGTTATACAGTATTGTGTCTCAAACCCATTGCCTTTAACTTTTCCCTTGAGAATGACTGGAATTATTAAACAATAATCTTATTTTGGATCTGTGAAGCCCAGGCCCTGGAGCTATGAAACGTCTCGGATTGCCAAGTGAATAAGGAATAGTGGCAACAGCCCAAACTCTAGCTATACTAACTAGGAAGTCCCAAGGATTTCCCCCCCAAAGGAACATACACACAATCCCAAACTCTTTTATTTTGCCACCCAGTTGATCAAAATAATTGAAGGGGGAACAAGAGTTACTCATAAATTCATCACTCCACCTGTAATTGTAAGAAAAATATTTTTCTAATTATTACAGATGGAAAATTCACCACCTACAAAAAAAATAAGAGACTCAAGCACTCTACAATTTTAACTGCATCTAAATACAACTTTGATCTAAGCAGTTCTGAACCTACCATACATCACCTCACAAATTGTACACATTGACTTATATTACTCTTATAGAAACGTCAAAGCACGCATAAATCAAGTGGATGAAAGCCCCACCACAGGAAACACTTAAAATTCACCATGTCCAGTAAGAAAACGAAATGATGCCATATCAAAGTTGTTCACAATTTTATGTTTGAATTTCTGTGTTACCTGAAGGATGGGTTTCTTTGGTTCTGATTTAATCACATTTTGTATTGCCTGGAATACTTGGTACAAGTTGGCTTCTATTGTGCTATTTAACACAATGACACTTATCTACAGCCAGCTTTAACTTTCAACATTCAATGGTGAAGTTTTAATTTCATGCCAAAACTTCCACTTAAAAAATACCGAAATCGGAACGCTGATGTTCTCATCAATTCACCATTATACATTTACGAGCAGATAATTGGTCTTTTGTCCCCCAAGAGAACAAGCTGAACAGTTTTGTTAACTTATTAGGAAGAAATAAGCCCAATGTCCCTGCACAGGGAGACAAATTACAGGCATGAACAATTTTTTCAAATGTCAGGAACATCAACAATCTCCTTTTGAAAGATTGAGCTACTGTACTAGGATCACCTGCTCACAGTTACTATAGCAACTGAAAACACTAGCCAAAAGTTTTCCAGTTTTGTTTGTTAAGCAGTTAAGAAAGATTGGTATTTTCTTCTTCCCTTTATCATGGGGAATCAAGTACCATGCAAAACCAGCAAAGCATCAAGCACTGTCAATTCTCTTCTAAATGAGCTCATTGACTTTCTGTTTTTCAGCATCTTTAAGTTTCTAGTTTGAAATTGCTGTGTGTGGGGGGGGGAAGCACCTTGACTCTTTGCACAACACAAGACTGCTCTCTCAGTTAAATTATATTTTTTTAAAAAACTAATCAATTGTTCTGTAAGAGAAAGTGTTTCTCTTAAAATCTGCTTGGTTTTAACAATCACCTACAAAAATTGTGATTTAAAAACTGGAATCAATTGTGGAAGGGCATAATGCAACTCAATGAAATTGTTTAAACTTTTCTTGAAGAACATTTTAAGATGTCATCTGATCCAAAGATACCAAGCTGCACAATGATTGCTTATTGTGTCTGAATAACCATTTCACTGTATTATGTTTAATTATGCCATAGAAAACTCCACAATAAAAGCCATACCACCTTTCTCAAAAGAATACAATCATTACATGCTGCAAACATTCAATAAACCAGGATGGATTTACCAAGGTTACAAAAATCTAATTATATCAAATTCAAATAGCAATAATGCACCTCTTTCTGGTTTTGTTCAGAATTTAAATCAATAGAACAATACAAACAAGCAGTTTTGACTTGAGGCATACATTTAAAAGAACAAAGCACTTCTCAAAAGAATATTGTATCATAATACTTTGGACATTTTAAAGAACATCCTAAGCTAATAATTATAGAAAAAAATGGAACAGGACAGATCAGAGAAACGCACCCTGAAGGTAGCAGGACAACTCAAGAGAGAAGTCGCACCTTAGTGACAAAGTGTGTGGTGAAAACCCCATATTCACTATTCAGCATAGGCAGCAGAAGATCCCAATAATTCCTCCCCCAAAAGAACTGAAGCGTGGGGACCTGGGTGCTCTCTGGTTGTTGTTTTGCAGACATTTCATGACCCAACTAGGGGACATCACCAGTGCAGGAGAGAGCGAAGTGATGTTCTCTCGCACTGATGATGTTCCCTAGTTGGACAATGAAACGTCTGCAAGAAAACCACCCAGCTCAAAGAGCACCAAGGACCCCACCGTCATCTCCGCAAAAACCCACTCCTTTCAAGCATTGATGTTACCTAGTCAGGTCATGAAACGTCTGCAAGAAAACCACCCAGCTCGGGGAGCCCCCCAGGACCCCCCCCCCGATTCACCCTTGAGCTACAAATCTTCTCTCCCACTGGGACAGCTGGAGAGTCTGTGGACCGACTATCCTTCCGATGCCCACCGTGCTCGGGGCAGGAGGGCCATCCCACCGCTGTCCAGCACCTTCAGGAAGGACCCAAGAGGCAAAGATGCGGGACTGGCATCTCAAGGCAGCCTCGGGCCGCCGCTGAGCCCCCAGCTGGGCAGGGGAGAGGAGGGCCAAGAGGGAGGGGGGGCCAAAGGCCGAGGCAGGAGGGGAGGGGCAGGGACCCCCACCAGAGGGAAGCCACGCGGACTCGGGGCCGGGTGGAGGGGGGCGCAGGCCACGAGGGGAGCCGGCTCAGAAAGGGGCCAGGAGCCCGGGAGGAGCCGAGTAGAGAGACCTCAACCCCCAAATGGAGGAGGAACCCCGACTTCCAAAGCGGGGAGAAGAAAACAGGAGAAGAGGCCCCGGACTTCAACTCCCATCAGCCCCCGCAGCCGGCCAAGGCCCGATGGGAGTTGTAGTCCAGAGCCTCGGCTCGCCGCTCCCGAGGCCCACAAGAGCCGCGGGGGGGGGGGCAAAGCCAGGTCGGGGTCTTGAAGGGGGGCGGGGGTGTCTCCGAGGGTGGGGGTCCCCGCCTCCCCCCCCGAGCCCCCTCCTCACCATTTGCGCACTTTCTCGATGGCCGCCATCACCCGCTTGATATCATCCTTGGCGCGGCTGCGGGTCTCGGCCCGCACCGACCGGCCCGACATGCTGCTGAGGTGGCGGCGGAGGGACTCGGACTGAGGCGCCGGCGCCGCTCGGCAGCTGGGGGCGAGGAAGGGCAGCGGCAGCAGCCGGAGGAGGAGGAGGAGGAGGAGGGAAAGGGAGGCCCGGCCTGGCTGGCTGGCGGCGGCGGCGGCGCCCGGACGCACAATGAAGCCTCCCGGCCGGCTCCGCCCCGCCTCGAAGGAGGGAAGAAAGGCCCGAGGCCGCCAGGGAGGCCAGCCGAGGCGGTGGGCGGGAGAGGCGGGCCGAGCTCACTGCGCAGGCGCGGGGCACGCCGCGCAAGCGCGGATCCCCGCCCGGCTCCCGCTGGTGGGGGCGGAGGAGGGGAGGGGCCGGCGTGTTTCCGCCCTTTTCTGTCAGCGCGATCGGCGCCGCTCATCCTCGAGGCGTCGAATGAAGGGGCGGAGTGGAGCATGGGCTTCTTGGTCTCTCCGCGTGGTTGTTCTCCTGAGCCTTTGCCTTCCTTGGCCGGGTCTCTCTTCAAAAGGAGATAGAAGTTTAACAAATAAAAGTAAAATAAAAATAATAAATAAAATAAAAGCCTGGGCTCTTTAATATATATATATATAAATAAAATGGGTGGACTTCAATTCCCAGAATTCCCCCACCATCATGGATTCTAGGGCTAAGCCAGGTGGTGGTGAAGTGAAATCCTGCCTGATTTTACAACCTTGTTTTGCCCTGGTCCGTAAGTGAAACGCTGCAGCTGTTCAATGATTCACGCACATCTGGCTTCCCCCACTGACGTTGCTTCTTGGAAGCCTGCAGGGAAGGTTGCAAACGGCAATCCCATGATCCTCGGACACTGGATGCCGAGCGTCCAGATTTTGACCGGTGGGGATGCCGTGATGGTTGTAACTGAGAATGGGTCACAAGCCACTTTTTTCAGCATCACTGTAACTTTGAACGGTCACTAAATGAATGATTGCAAGTCGAGGAGCAGCTGTCAAAAGATCTGGGAAAACTGCTTCCGCACGTCTCGCTTTGGATGAGGGACGAGGACTTCCCCAGCTTTATACATACGGAGTCTACAATTGATTTTTTTTTTAAAAAACAACACCCCCAACATCTTTTATTTTCCATCACATTGAAACTAATCATTTCTGAACATTTGTTTTTCAAAAATAGTTAAGTTGTAAATCTGGGGACAGAAGACGACCCAAGGCGAAAAAGACCAAGAGTGTAAATCACGAATTCTTCACGGACAAGAAACTGCCATTCGTGGCCTCGTCGGAAGTTTGCATCTCTGTCGTCACGTCCGTCGGTTCTGGCATCGGTAAACCCAAGATGTCCTTTGTGAAGTAAGCTGCCGTCACTTCCTCGGGGATTTCTTCCTGAATTATGTCTTCTGAACCTGGGAAAGAGAATGGATGCTAGGACTTGGTGCAAGGAATATACAAGATCACTTTATCCACAAGCTACACTGAACTGATTTTTGCCCTTTAATTGCAATGCAACTCTTTTCACGTTCCTGCTCTACTTTCCCCAGGATGGGAGACCACTAAGCGACCCCAGGGCTCTAAGATGAGTTAGAAATTAGGCAAAGAATCCCCAAGAAAGCAGTAGCAAACCATTATTTAACGGTGCCAAGAAAATCATCAGAGGGGGTTGCAGTTCAGCACCTGTGGGATCATAGCTGCCGACCTCCACACGTCCCCCCTCGGGGTTGAAGCCCAGAAGCGTGGTGAGATACTCGGCCAATTCTTCTTCGGTGAAATGCTCTCCTGCTCAAAGAAAACGAGAAAGCACACAGTCACCTAACCCGAGCAGAACCACGGCATACCACCAATTTTCAAAGGTTTTGAACGCTCAACGCTCACACCTTTGTGTTGCAGCAACAATAGCAGGTCATCTCGGTTGATGGCGGCTTCGTGGTCCTCGTTCTCATAGCCCAACACATCGAAGGCCTGCTGAATTTCCCTCGAGGCCAGCCCAAAGGCAGGCCGATGGTTCACGTAGAGTTTGATGAAGTCCCCTAAATTAATATGGGTGACTTGCTTCCCAGTATCCAGAAACTCACTAAATTTGACTTCGTTCAGCATGTCTTCAATCTAAAAGGAGAAACGGGATCCCACCTCCATCAGATCTGAGAAAGCTTTCAAAACCTGGCCTAACCCTAACCCTATTCTTAGTGTATGTATCTCGTATCTCTTTTTGTATTGTTTTATTCCTTTTAACGTTGTAAGCCAACCAAATTCACCTCCTGGTGAGATGGGTGGCAAATAAATTTAATCAATTAATCAATCAATCGATAAAAATAAAGTTTTCTTCAGGAGTTATCTTTTCCTGATGCATCAGGTTTCGTTTGGGATTGGCTTTTATTGTTTTAACATTAGGCAGTTGGGCAGCCTCTAAATCAAGGCTGTCCAATCTTAGCAACTTGAAGTCCACAGGTCTTCAAGTTGCCAAGCTTGGACACCCCCGGTTTAAATCAAATAAATAAACAAACACAAATGATTTTCAATCATGTTGCCGCAGGAATGCTTTGACAAGCAGAAAGAAGGAAGGAAAGTGTCTTCTTCAGTCATCTCTCAAACCTAGTTTGCAGAATAGGATCGTTTTCCTCTTCCTCTGATTTACAAAGCTGGCCAGACTAAAAAACCACGATTCCCATAAGTTCCAAACTGTGATTGGAGACATCCTCCCAAACAAGGATTGAGGAACAAGGGTTGAGGAACCGCTAGTCCACAAGAAATCGCTAGGTTTCGGAGGTCAAATGAGGTGCTTAAGGACCCTCCCCACCTGCCCCCTCCCCTGAAAACCCACTGACCTGATCCTCCGAAGGGTAAAACCCCATCGCACGCATCAGAAAGGAGACCTGATCCAAGGGGATGTGTGTAGACACCTTCCTGGGTTCCATGGTGTCGATGCCCTGATGGACCAGCTGAGCGTAGTAGAAATAGTCTTCCAGCTCCTGAACATGTACAAAGGATCTTGAGTGTGCAAGAACATTCTATACAGGTAAGACCTTGACTTACGGCCACAACTGAGTCCAATCTTCCGTTGCTAAGTGAGACAGTTACGTGACTTTTGCCTCATTTCACAACTTTTGTTGCCACAGTCGCTAAGCGAATCACTGCAAGGGTTAAGTTAGAAAGACGGTCACTAAGCCAATCTGGCTTCTCCCCCTTGACTTTGCTTGTCAGAAGGTCTCAAAAGGGGAAACACTGCAACAGTCATAAATATGAACCAGTTGATCACGTGACTGTGAGGATACTGCAACAGTCATGTGAAAAGCAATCCTAAGTCCCTTTTTTCGGTGCCATTGTAACTGCAAACGGTCACTAAACGAATGGTTTGTAAATCAAGGACTCCCTGTAATGAAAGATTTGGCTTGGTGTCTGTCTCTATCAACCTTTAGTGGCCCTTTTCCCCTCTCTGAAAGGGTTTTATTTTCTGAACCCCACTATTTTATGGCTGCTGTTGTGCTGGGATGTGTTTTGTGGCATTACCTGAACCCCAAACTGAGCAGACTCACCTTGAAAAATGCACCATCTCTGCCACCTTCCAACAGGTTGTAAAATGGGATCAGGTCTTTGCCACCCAGGAAAACAGCAGCAGCCAGAGCACTGGAGAAGGAGACAGGGCAGGGGGTCCCTGAGGAGAAGACCCTGCAGAGAAGCTCTTGGTTCCTCACCTGCCTCCCCTCTACCAGAAGGAAATAAAAACTCCCCACCTTGGAGGAACTTAACAAACCTAACCTCTAGCTTCATGTTTCTCTACCTTGAAGATGGGTGGACTTCCACTCCCAGAATTCCCCAGTGTTGCTTTGCCTCCTGAGGCCACCAAAGCTTTTCCTCAAAGGAACCATCACTTACTCGAGATTCACGTCCCACTTCATCACCGTCGAGTCGCTGCCCCCCGCCGTGAAGAGGTAGCGTCCGTTGTAGGAACAGGTGAGGTCGGCCACACCTGCAGGGTGGCAAATGAAAGCTGAAGACTTGTGGGGGTTCCCATCGACGGGCAAGATCTGCAGGCCAACCTAGAGAAGAAGATGGAGAGGAGAACCAGTTTCTCCCCAGCCCCGCCTGGAGGAATGTGAAGATACAAAGGAAAGGTACCTTCACGTCACCTCCACTACCTTATCTTTTGTGATGTAGGCCAGGTACCGCTTCTGAGGATCCTGGTCCTCACCCAACGGAAGGATGGCAAACTTCTCAAGAGGAGAACCATAGCTGGGTCCCAAAGCGGTCTTCCTAAAAGAAGCACGTCATGAAAAAGCCTAAGAGCCCAACCAGCTCATACCAAGAGCAGATCCTTCTCCCATTGGGTCTGTTGCCTTTGAAGAAGTCCACCCCCCACAAGGGTTTTCCCCACCTAGCTACCTGCACAACTTGGTGGTCACGTTATAAAGCTTCATTTTGTAGTGATTGTTGGCCGTGAGGAAAAAGTACTCCGTTGTAATTGGGGGATACCAAGCGATATACTTGGGGATTGCGCTCTGCTCAATACGGTCTCGTCGGATTACCACCAACTCATCTTTGACGCTATTCGCCAAGTCGTATTCCACCTGAAAGCCAAGTGAAAGCCAGCAATCACTCCAACTAGTGCGAGACGTAGCAGAGTGAATCACTGGGTCTAACTGTTGGTTAGGCAAGTGGACCACCGTTGACCCAACTGAGTTGACCCACGTGTTAAGCCAAGTGTTGGTCACTTGTACTACTCAACTCAAAAAGCTACCAAGTCTTCCTGTCAAGGTTGGGACTTTGCGGCCATAACTCGCTACAGACCAGAAGCATCTTGATTCCCATCTCTGGTACCCACCTTCCTCCTTTGACTCCAGGCCAACCTGTTTTGTCCTGAATGAACAACTACCTAGGTTTGTTGGTCCTGAAACTTTTCCAGAGGGAGTCTCCAATCGGGTGGCCCATTTTCACCAGATGTGCCCAGCCACTGGACTTACCAAGAGCCGGTCTTCTCCGAGACTTAAGAGCCGTGGCTCACTGCTATCTAGGTGCACCCCAAAAAGAAGGGTGCGAATCGG